AATGGCACCACGATATGCTTTAGAAATTATGGATCGAACATTGCGTGATATTATGAATAATGATTTTCCTTTTGGCGGAAAAATTGTTTTATTAGATGGTGATTTCAGACAACTTTTGCCTGTCAAACAACATGCTACTCGAAGTGAAATTGTAAATCTTTCTATTAAATTTAGTTATACTTGGAAATATTTTGAAAAATTCTCTTTAATACAAAATATGCGAGTTCTTCCAGAGGAAATTGATTTTGCCAAATTTCTATTAGATATGGGAGATGGATTATTAAATGATTTAAATGATAATATAGAAATTCCTAAATGTCGTATAGTATCTACAAATGTTGATATTGTGGAAGATATATATGGTGATTTAATACGAAAACAAGAATTTGTTAAAATAGCTAAATGTGCGATACTTTCTGCAAGAAATGTTGATGTAGACGAAATTAATATAAGAGTTGTAAAACTATTAAGTGTAACTGGTGAACGAATTTATACAAATATAAACTGCACTGTAAATGGTAACAATGGTGACATTGGTGAAGCTTTGTTACCAGAATATTTAAATAGTTTATCTCCACCATCTCTTCCTCCTCATGAATTACGTTTGAAACCAAATTGTATCATTATGTTGATTAGAAATCTTAGTATCAATGAAGGTCTTTGTAATGGTACTAGATTAATGGTTATAGAGCTTGCAGACCATTTATTAAAATGTATTGTAAGATGTTAACAGGTGACAAAGCAGGAGATATTATTTTTTGAAATTGTATAACATTATATTGTGAAAATGTATATCCTTTTACTTTTTCTAGAAGACAATTTCCGATAAAATTAGCTTGTGCTATGACATTTAATAAATCACAAGGACAGATATTTGAAAAAATTGGATTAGATTTTCGTAAAGATGTATTTAATCATGAACAACTTTATGTTGCCTTTTCACGAGTTTGTTCTTGGCAAGCATTAAAAGTTTATATTGGGAATCAACGAGATACGTTAAAAATTATGTATATAAAGAAATATATGTCTAGCTTTATTGTTTTTTAGTATAAATATGATAAAAATAATTTATGCGTGTTAAAATAATTATAGTAATTTAATTTGTAATTTTTAAACTGATTATAAAATAAAACCGTAGATATTTGAGAATCGCCAGACAGAATTTAAAAAAGGTAAGAATCTTCTCTCGACCGTACTGGCAAATATTATTTTTTCAATTACAACGTTTCGGCCCTTCTTTAAGTTCTTATCAAGTGATTTGTAAAAATAAAAATAAAATTATAATTTTAAGATGTCAAGAACAAACATAGTGTCGATTTGACAACTCGTTAAGACTCTTAGACGAGTTATTGGAGACTGTCTCCAATAACTCGTCTAAGAGTCTTGACGTGTGGAGACAATCTCCAATAACTCGTCTAAGAGTCTTGACGTGTTGTCAAACCGACACTATGTTCGTTCTTGACATCTTAAAATTATATATATTCTAATTCCGAGCACTGTTGTATATATATTTTTATTATATGTATATTGTTTGTTGTTTTTTTTTAATATTTAAAATATTACTTAAGAAGTCATTATAATATAATAAGAAAGTAACGCAAAAATAATAATCTTAATAAAACAGTATATAAAGAACTATTATATAACAGTTACAGATAAATCATACATATAATTATATATATAATAAAAAAAAAATTAATATTTACATAATTTGATAATATATGATGTAAAATACGTGTAATTTCATCATTTCATGCCACAATCTGAATTCGTTTCTCATCTCCATTATTTAATAAAATTAAAAAATTTTATATTTTTTGTTGCTTCACACTTTACGGGGAGATTCGATACCATCAACAAAACCTACTACTTCACTATATAAAATAATTTTTTTATGTAATTATATTTTATACAAAAATGTTTATTAAATGTTTAATAAATATATTTAAACTTGGCAAAATTGATTTCGACGTAACTAGCAATTTTATTCAATACTTTCACGACGTTTCGACCATTTGGTTGTGGTCCTTATCAAGTGAGAATTCCATCAATTAAAATGAGATTAACGCAACATAAAACCGATCTTATTTAAAATTAATAGTTAAAAGAGGAACACGTCCCATTGCTATGATGTTTCGTCAACGACTTAATGTCGTTAATAAAAAATTATATTATATGTATATATATATATATATATATATATATAACACATATATAATATAATTTTTTATTGTTTAATGTTGTAATATCAACATTAATTATTCTATAATAACTATTTATTGAAATATTAATTAGAACAATTTAAAGAAAAAGAATATGTTATATATAATTTATTGTGTATGTATATATAAATATATATATATATAAAGTAAATAACGCGCGCGTAGCGCGCGCTTGTTTTGTTCTAGTAAGTAGTAAAAATAGTATGACCTGTTTTTGGATCAAATGGCAGTTGTGCTAAATAATAACTCGAAGAAATCCAATATCTTAATGTTCCTCGAAGAAGTCGAATATCTTAGTTCCCTCATCATTTTTATCACTGAAAAGAAAATATTACAACTAGATAACCTCAAATTTGTAACAGCATAATGTAGTTTAAAATAAATTATTTTATGTATGTAATAAATATTACATAAATATATTATAAAAATATTTTATATATAATTTCATGTAATATTCAATAAAAAGCACATTGTGAACACTCGCACAGTTTTACACATTACATCACTTACACATAATATCACTTTTGTCACTCATTCAGGGTGCCGTCACATACGGCGTAAGAAGCGTACGCGTGTACTGCTGCGTACTTTGCGTATTCTAGTAATATGCCAGAACTTACGCCATTTAAAAAATGCCCTTTCACATGGAGCGTATTTCGTTAAATTTCGCGTAAAGCGTAATAAATCTAACCAATAAAGATAAGAGTTTCTGTTGTAGAACACAGGAGAAATACTAAAATCAATTTTCTATTGGTTATTATAATATTATTTAGGCGTATTGCTAAATACGCGCCATGTGAATTAGGTACCTGGTATTTATCGTAAAATGTGCGTAATCATAGCTTAGGTTAAGTATGTAATGATGAAGTAAATGGATAAGGTGCAGCGTGTATAAATAAAAAATATGTAAATAATAAATAATAATAAATAAATAAGAAAATATGTAAATAAAGAAATAAAAGTATTATGTTAACAGGTTTCATTCATATAGTTCAGCAATCAAATATTCAAAAGTGCTAATATATAATGAATTAGTTAATACTATTAATTTTTAGAAATTCTCAGAACAATTTTTAGCATCCTTTTTTTGAATATTTTTGAAAGATGCATCAATTCATAAAGTTTTTAAAATTTTCTCAGAAAATTTTGAAGTTTTTCTATATAAATTAAGACATCATTCAAAAAAAATTTTTTTAAATTGTTATGAGACATTCTGAAAATAATTTTTACCAGAGATAACCTCAAAATTATTTTGTTATATTGTGCAAACAATGAATTATATATAAATTAAATGGATAAATTTTATTTCTAAAATTTGTTCTTATCTGAATTTGGTTATTCATTTTTTCAGCACACATCGCAAAATTATGAAATTATACGCAAATTGCATAAGGTTTGTTCGCGTCACATGCTCCAACTTACTCCTTCTTACTCCAATGCGCTTGTATTGGTGCGCTCCTCGAATTGGACCAATACGAGCGCATTGAAGTAAAAAGGAGCAAGTTGGGGCATGCGACGCGAACAAACCTATAAATACAATTGTTGTAACTATGCGATTTTTCAGCAGCTTACGCAAAAAATTGAATTCAGCGTATCGGCATTACGTTAAATCACTAGATGAATTTGCGTATGATAACTAAAACGAGGTGATTGGTTAATCGAGTTTGGCGTAAGTTACGCGTACGCTGGCTATTTTATGCCGCATGTGACGGCACCTTAAAAGATATCTAGAAGACATCTTTTAGAAAGTCTTAAAGATTTCTTTAATGAGACATCTTTTAGACGTCTACAAGACTTTGATGTTATGTGGGATTATATAGACGCATTTCCCAAATAATTTCATATCAATTAAAGTAAAAAAAAAAAAGATTTTTTAAAAGTTATGTCTGCTAACTATTTGCTCTTAATTAATTTTCTCTAATTATAAATAAACTAAATTATGCAAACATATTCCTAAACTTGCCCTAATAATTTCCAAACGATAGCAATAATAAAAAATAAAAATAAATAATAAAAAATATAAAATTTGTCCAATCGATGTTCACTAAGCGTACTTTAAACTTGATTTCCAAGTAAAATAATTATTTCCTAAACGTTAAAACTATTACAGACGTGTTTCCCAAATAATTTTACGTTAATTAAAAAAAAAAAATGTTTTTTCGAATTATTGTCTGCTAACTATACGCTCAATCTATTTTAATTAATAATAAATAAACTATTATTTGCTAAACTACGAGAATCTATTCCTAAATGTGCCCAAACAATTCCCAAGCGATTGGTATAATTGATAATAGGTAAATATAAAATTTGTCTGCTAAATAGATGGAGGTGGCCAATCTTGACGCCGAATCTAGAGAAAGTCTAGTGATTTTAATTTGGCGCTGGTCTCTTCTCATGAAATTGCACCTTAAGACGATCTTAAATATAAGAAACCAACTGTGAATACTGGCCTAAAACTGACAAATGAAGGTTGCGTTCGAAAATACATTTCATTGGAATTGGGAAAAAAAGTTGGCACAAAGAAAAACAACCTTTGTAAATTGAAATTACTTGACGCAGAAACCAATATAAAATATGAAATAGAAGTAAATGAAGAAGATTATAATAAAACTCCAGCAGCCAAGCGGTTCCAGTGGAAGAAACGAAACGCAGCACTGGGAATTACTGCCAACCTAATTTTTTTTCATTACTGCCAATTTTATTTTTTTTCCCAATTCCAATGAAATATTTTCGAACGCACCTGAAGTCTGTTATAGGCTTATAGGTTCTGCGAGTGTGCCATCGCGACTGCCAGATGACGCCTCTTAAGTCTTTTTGCCGGCGACATACACGAGGACGAGGCGTCGGTTAATGAACCGGTTGTCCATGATCGGATCCGAAAGTAAAGCTGGGAATGTGGCACACATGAGAGACAAGAATTGGAGCAAGAATTGTGTGTATCGCTTTACCATATACGCTTTATGATCACGATCCCGCAGCATCACATCGCGTTGCGCCATTCCCCCTCTCGATACCTCGTTCTCGCCATTACCCGTCTCGTTTCTATTTCTCTTTTTCGCCGCAGTTGACAGCGGTCGGTTGACCGATCACGTTCCCTCGCGCGACGGGAAGGAGGAAGTGTCCACCTTCGCTCACGCTCCTTTTATCTCCCTAGGCCTATTCTCTTTTCCATGTCAACGATACGCGCGCTCCTGCCAAGGCCAGCAGTGAGCTACGCCCCCCGCGTTATTGCCGTCGTCGGAGGATTATCATTGTGTACCGAGCGTTATCCGTGCCCTTGCACCGAGATTTCGGCAGCAAGAGCAAGGATCGTCGACATCGGTATCGAACGTCGGGAGTCGAGGAGGCGAAGAGGGAGAAGAAGGAGGACGTGCGATCGTGTCAACGTTGCTCTTGCCAGACTGAGATGAGCGACCATGGTTGCATACATTTGAATAATTTCAAAGCAGCCAAAGGTATCCAGCCGTACAAAGTGATACACTCGTATTTTGTGACTAGTACGTCGACCGAGGCACGCGTCAGGAAGGTATGTCCGTTCTCTTTTTTTCGCAATATATTACGGGTATGAGATCAATATATTTTTATTATGCACCTTTTGAGATATTTATTTATTTAATTTTCATCTTTTCTGCTTGCTTCTGTTCCGCGAGCTTCTGTTAATTTAATTATATTACTTGTCTGTTCTGCTTCGCATTTTCTCCTATGATCTATTTTTATTCTATTTGACAAACGTTTTATAATTCGTTCGACCAATCAGCATAGAGAAATCTTTACTCTTCTATTATTCTGATTGGTCAATCGAGCGATTCTCATTATTTGTAATGCTGAGTGCACTAGATACTCCAAAATTTGTAAATAGAATTATATACAAGAATATCGTTCTTCAACGACTAGCTGAAATATTTAAAAATGTTTATGTTGAGATAATAGTCGTTTAACACATTTGACAAATTTTATGATGATTATTGATTTATTATTTTTTATTCTTATTTTTATAAATATGTAGAACTACTAAGAACTAGATAAATTTTATTTGAAATAATGAATATAAAATTAGAAGTATTATTAATAACAAATAAATTTTTATTTAGAACTAAATTTACTTGTTAGTAATTATAAATATTTTTATATCAGAAATTATTTAAATAAAACTTTGTTCTTGTTAGAATATGTTAAAGTTTTAGAAAGGGAAAAAGAGAGAGAAAGAGAGGAGAGAGGAGAGAGAGAGAGAGAGAGAGAGAGAGAGAGAGAGAGAGAGAAAATGTAAATTGTGATAAATTACAGTATGGTCTATCAGATCTTTTATTTTGAGAAAATTCACTAAGAAAATTATTTCTTATTGAAATTGTTGAAAAATAATATTTTTGTATAAAATAAAGTATATTATTGTATAAGCAAAACATATCTTTTTTCATCGGACAATTTAATTGTGAAAAATTTTTTAACATTTACATAGCAGACTTAAATTAAAACATAAAAAGATAAAATAAATAATATTGGACATTTTATTTACAGGCGGTGAGCTGTTTATGTCATATATGTAAAACATACAAGGATCGTCTACATTCTTGTCTTCATTGTATATTTTTTGGCTGCTATATAAAAGGTCACATACAAGAGCATGCAAAAACAAAGAAACATTTTTTAGGTAATATTTTTTTAGTTTAAACTAGTCTAGATATTTATTAACATTAAACATAAAATTATAAATAAAATTATACAATTAATGAATTGTAGTTCTATATCTTATAATTGTAATTAGTTATTGTTTGTATAATTTTAGCTGTTGATCTATGTTATGGAAATATCTTGTGCTTCCAATGCGGCGATTATGTATATGACAGAGAGTTGTTAGCAGTGGCAAAAGTACAATGGAGCGAGTCAGCAAAATCCTTGAGCTTCGGGGAGTTTTACCGGGCATGGGAACCTACACAAATGGAGGCAGAGTTGCTCAGAAAACACCCGCGCCGAAGACGTGTCGTGGAAAATACCACTATAGGTATTTAGTAGAAGAATTTTTAGCATTTAACCTATATTCGGAATTAACACTAATTGTAAGTGTATTCATATGATTCTGTCTTATTCAGTTGTTTACGATGTTGTTAGGTTGTTTGGAGAGTTTGTTTCAAATTTTCTATATAAATTCAGAGAGTAAATATTTTACCCGAAGAACTTATTAAAGCAAATATGTACCGTTTTGTTCCACAACCTTGGTCCATTTCAGAAAGTTGTATGATGCCTTTGTATTTTCAGAGACATGCAATATAATTCGATAATAATAATTCACTATAATTTTTTATATAATAGTATTTAAAAAATATATTGTTTTAATTGCAGGTTTAAGGGGATTAATCAATCTCGGACAAACCTGTTTTATGAACTGCATTGTACAAGTGCTGATTCATACTCCCTTGTTACGAGATTACTTCCTTGCTGACCGTCATCACTGCCCACAACCAAGTCGCTGTCTGGTCTGCGAAGTATCCCATTTATTCCAAGAATTTTATTCAGGAAATAAAGCTCCACTGACACTTCACAAACTTCTTCATCTGATTTGGACACACGTGAAACATCTGGCGGGTTATGAACAACAAGATGCCCATGAATTTTTTATTGCTACACTGGATGTTCTTCATAGACATTGTGAAGCTGCTCCAATATTAGTCAAAGACAATCCCCATCATTGCAATTGCATCATTGATCAGATATTTACTGGAGGCCTTCAAAGCGATGTTGTTTGTCAAGTTTGCAAGTATGTTAATTTTCCAATTTTAGAGAAAACATCTATCCAGTTGATAAAAATATTATACATTAAATAAATTTGCTTTAAAATAACAAAATAATGTACTAAATTATTTGATAGAGGATGAAATAATTAAATTCAATTATACAATAAGTAAATAAAGTTTTGTTAAATGTAACAAATTTTAGGTATAAGCAGTTTTTCAAAAATTTTTTGTTTTATAATAAGATCTTTTTATCAGACATAACTTTTCTATTAATTTCAATTTTTCTATGCTTTATTTCGACTTTTTTGTTTTAGTGGAGTGTCTACCACAATAGATCCATTTTGGGACATATCTTTGGATTTAGGTCCTGCTGCTGATACCTCTGGTTCTGATACGTCCAGACTTCCTACTTCTTTGCTGGATTGTTTGGAAAGATTCACTAGAGCCGAGCATTTGGGTTCTACCGTGAAGATCAAATGTAGTAATTGTGAAACTTATCAAGAAAGTACAAAACAGTTAACAATGAAGCAGCTGCCAATTGTGGCCAGTTTCCATTTAAAACGTTTTGAACATTCGAGCATACAGGATAAAATATGTAAAAAGGAAAAGATTTCCACATTTATCTCTTTCCCAGAACAACTAGACATGACGCCATTTATGTCACACAAGCGCAATGGTAACAACAATAGCGCTATAATAGATGGTTTATCGAAGAACGGAGAAATTATGACTTTCAGTGACAATAGGTAATAATAATCTATAAAATAATTTACAATTTTTTATTATTTGTTTAGTTATTGTTTTAAAAATGTATGTGAAATTAAAACATTTAATTGTTGATAATAGATACTCTCTGTTTGCCGTGATAAATCACAAAGGTTCTTTAGAGACTGGACATTATACTGCTTTCATCAGGCAACAGAGGGATCAATGGTTTAAGTGTGATGATCATTTAATTACGAGAGCTAGGTTGAAGGATGTTTTGACTAGTGAAGGGTAAAATAATAAATATTATACAACATATATATATCTATATCGGCTTAATAAATATTATATTCAAAAAAAGAATAAAAATAAAAATAATCTAAAGTTATTAGAATTTATTTTCTATATTTTCATTGAGTATAGAACAGAGAAAATCTTGATCTTTAATAAAAATGTTTGCTTTTCAGGTATCTTTTATTTTATCACAAGCAGATTTTGGAGTATGGCCGGAATAATAAAGTATGAGACAGAATTAGAAAGAGTGAGAGATGGGAAGGAGAAGATAAAGTAACAAAGCATTAAAAATCGTTATTGAAATTAAACACTGAAGATGGTTTACGTTTGCTGGAAATAAATTATTGTCATCATCGTTTTTTAATTTCTGCCAGTGCATTTTGTGTTCGATGGGTTATGCCGACTGACTGCCTAGTCGAAATCTGTGTGTCCTAAACATAATGTAAGCATAGACATTAAGATTAGCTCAAATTTTTTAAATTGATTGATTGCAATTTTTGTATATCGCTGATTATTGTTATACTCTTGACTTGACACTTATATACATGATGCGCTGGGGATAGCCCTCTAATTGTAAGACATTTTCCTTAATTTTTGCACTTCTGCCAGCAGAATGTTATATATTATATCGATCTCTGAAACGTTCAATGTACTTGCGATATTATCATATTACATAGGATTTTTCAAAAATGTTTTAATTAAGAAGTTTATGATAATTAAAATGATTATGAATTTAGTTATTTTTTCCAATTTCCAATATGAATACAATTTTGTACATAGAAAAGCAAATAGATTTTTTTGATATTACAAAAATAATGTTTTGTTAGAGAATTTGATATTCTATATAAGACAACCTGATATTTTTTCATGTATATCTACACACACACACTATATACACCGAAATAGTAATATAATTTCTTAATTACAATGGCTATCCCTAGACGACTCAATTTTGTGTACAGATAAAATAACATATAGTGAATATAATAATATTGTCTATAATTCAAGACGAATTCTTGCTGGACTTCGTTTAATAAAAATCTTTGTTCAACACAGTCTGATTCGATTTATTTTCAATTTTCTTCTATATAATCTCTATGTAAAATATATATTACTATGTTATTGTATTTGTATAAGAGGCATTCCATACCAAATCAACGACCTTTTCCCCGACTATTTTTTATTTGCTTCATTTTTTTATCTTTCTATATCTATTCAAAGTAGTATCAATTAAAATTTTCTATTCGCTCGTGTATTGTATAAAACAACAAATGTATTCAAAGAGGCCAACTTATCGAGCAATATTTAAGATGTATCTAATTAAATTTTATTTCATACACAATATATTAAAATTACAAAAACCTTTCATATAAACGTTTCAACCGCACGCGATCTTCTTCAGTATAACAGTGTTACGTAATTTATAATTCTTACAAAAAACATCATATTCTTAAAATTTACTAATAGTCCGTTAATACGAGTCGAGAATTTGTTAGAAATTTATGCGTGTTACAAATTGTCATATTTATAAAAGTATTCGCCATAATGTGATCTTACGATGTTGGATTCCGTAAATTATCCAACATCATAAGATCACATTATGGCGAATACTTTTATAAATATGACAATTTGTAACACGCATAAATTTCTAACAAATTCTCGAGTCGTATTAACGGACTATTAGTAAATTTTAAGAATATGATGTTTTTTGTAAGAATTATAAATTACGTAACACTGTTATACTGAAGAAGACCGCGTGCGGTTGAAACGTTTATATGGAAGGTTTTTGTAATTTTAATATATTGTGTATGAAATAAAATTTAATTAGATATATCTTAAATATTGCTCGATAAGTTGACCTCTTTTGAATACATTTGTTGTTTTATTCAAAGTAATTTTCCCATAAGTTTTTTTAGATTTTTATCTTTATTAATTCCCGAGTTATATATTTTTAAAAACATAGATTTTTTTGAATCAAAAAAATTTCAAATATTTATAACTTAAAAAAAAATAAATATATTGTCATCAATAAGGTGGTCATTTTTTGTCTTTGAATGTATTTTTCAAACAAAATATTGAAGAAACAATAAAAAAAGAAAATTTAATGGTATTTTAGTCAATTTTAACCGAAATCATTATTTTTTTTTTTCAATGAGACTCCGATTTTTTTTCATAAAAATGTATAACATTTTAGACTTAAAAAAAATTTTTTTAAACTATTGGCGAAAAGAAGATTCAAATATTTTTGATTTTTTAAAGCCATTTTTCAAATTTAAAAAAAATCGCATTTTTTAGTTTACACATTATTTCTATTAAAAAAAATTAATATTAACAAAATTAAGAAGCACTTATTTCGAAAAGTCAGAAAAAATTCCAATATTTGTAATTTTTAAAGATTTTTGCTATTTTTTCAAAAATAGTATTATATTTGTCAGTTGTTTAGGCAACTCTGATATTAAGGAAAACACTTAAAATAAAAGATATTAATGCAATAAAACGTATTTTATTGGAAATTAGTACATAAAAACACTTTTTGTTGTTAATATAGTTTAAATAATTAATAAATTTCATTATAAATATACGATTATATTATTAATATACGTATGGCATGTCAATGTTCAGCAGATTATTATTATTATACGATATATTATACGATTATCATGTGAAATTATTTTTCGATTCGAGAAGCGAACCACCAGTATTAATTTTTGTATTCCATCTACACTTAAAAAGGATCACAATCAGTGGTTGAAACGTTATAAATGTATGTAATTGAGTTTCACAAAATAAAAAAAGCCAGTGTTGGTCACTTATAGAGTTATAATTTAATACTGCGATGATATACAGGGTGAGGCAATAACTATTAGGACCTTAAATATCTTCGAATTTATGAGGCCCAGAGGAAGATTTGTGTAACAAAAATTGCACGGTACGAAGGGGGCTATCATATGGCGATAATAATTTTTGTCCAGATGAAGGCGCTTTGGAGATACCAAGGTCATCTTCATTTTTTTAAATGGATTCAATGTTTTTTTTTCTATAATATGATAGAGGAACTCGAAACAAGTTCAGAACTCACGACACAAAATCATTGAACAAGATTTAAAGTAAAGAAAAATCGATAGAAATACATTTTTATTATTAAATGAAATTCACGTTTACAAAAGATATTCGAACGGATACATCGTGCATGATTGACTGACTTTTATTAATTTATTAAATTAAACTTTTATTAAATGTTTCTCGGTATGTAAAATGTCAAATTTTTCCCAATCGAAATCATGATTAAATTCACATCGGTGCTTACTTACAACTGAATGCGAACTCTGATGCAATTTTATGTTTTTACAATGCTCCTTAATCCGTGTAGCGACATGTCTCTTTGTTTGTCCTATATACGATGCATTACAATTATTGTAATTTAATTTATACACCACGTTAATTAAGGAATCAGTCAACAAACTGTCCTTTCCGCATTTAATTAAGGAATTAAGCTTTTTTGGTATCATATAAACAACATTTAATCCATATTTTTTTTTTAAATGTGAGATGTTATCACTATAATTATTCACATATGGGATCGGCATGTATGGTGCTTTCAACCTTTCGTTCATTGCGATAGTATCATGGTTATTTGAACTTTTGTAATTTTTCGTAATTTATGTAATTTTTCGTAATTTTTTGTAATTTATTGAGTATATTAATAATTATATATTGTATATTAATAATTATATTTAGTGTTCACTTGAAAAGGACCACAACCACATGGTCGAAACGTAGTGAAAGTTTGATAAACGAAATAGTACGCTAGTTCTGGTTGATTATTCTACTCTCCAATTTTAATAACTAGTGACTATAAGATTAATAATTTTGGGAATTTATTTTATATATATATATAATATTTATGGTATGTAAAGATAAATATTTATAGTAATTATTTTGTAAATGTTTTTTAACTAAATTGTTCTTTCATTTATCGCTATGTGACGTATTTTTCTCGTTTTTGATTTTTGTCGTGAGAATTATATACATAAGGCTGGCAAAAACGGAAATTAATAAAATTAAAAATCATAAAATTATTTCTATTTTTGAGCTACATTCTCCAACAGAATGTCTTTTAACAAATAAATTTATGTATATATATATATATATTGAGATGTGTACGTAAATTTATTTCGTCTAAGATTCTTGACGTGTTGTCAAACCGACACTATGTTTCGTTTCTTTTGACATCTTAAAATTATAACAGATAATAATCTTTAAGATTTGCCAGTAATAATTAATAAAAATCTTTCCTTAATGGTAAAAGTCGACCAAACTGGCAATCATTTTTTATAAATAATTAGTTAAAATACAACGTTTCGGCTGTCATTGCAGCTCTTTTCACAAATAAATCTATAAAAAGTTACATAAAAATAATTATAATTTTAATACATTTCATCGCAACAAATAATTATAAATTCATATACTAAAATATGTCACATACCAAACGTAAATGCATAATAAATTAATACAGTAAATCAAATTCACTGCATACCACCGACAATATTCACCATTGTTTCAATGAACAATGTAGAATTGACAGAAGTAAGCAAGAAATAAATAGATGTTAACAGTTAGCAAGAATCTTAGTCACTACGCGTTAAGAAAATCGAGACAAAACTAATGTGTCTTTCGCAATCTAAAACCTCATAACAAAGTCAAATAATAAATAAATAGGTCAAAATAAAAATAATTTAAATAGCGTCAAGAACACCATCATAAATCCCACTAAAATTCTCCGTATCTTTCTGTAAATTAATGCCTTTACTTTGTTTTTTTATATAAAACATTTCTACAATTTCTCTTTTTCTTGTTTGTTTTTCTTGATGCAAGATCATCGGAGAATCCCAACGGAACTCATGATCGTTGCAAGTCCGATGCAAACTAACGACTGAATGCAATGTAGTGTCTTTCTTGATATTATTTCTATGTTCTTTGATGCGTTTCTAATGTCTCTTTGTCCAATACACGTAGAATCACAATTCGCACATTCAATTTTATACAGTTTATAACCGTTAACGGGTAACAATTATTACGAAGAATTCTTCTGACTATATATTATAATGTTTTCTTCGTGAAACATAGGGTCAGCGAGTACAATAGCCTTATCCACTAGGCTTGTGATCATACTGAGTTTATATCTCATCGGATGATTCGATAGAAAATTTATATATCGACCTGAAAACGTAGGTTTACGGAACCAATTAGTCGTTAAGGGTCGACAGGCGACATGGTGAAGACGCCTATCGGCCGGCCGGGAATTACAGATTCTTATTTTCCAGATATTAGCCAAAATATTGAATAAATCTTATTAAATTTAGGATATTCTTAATCATGCGTACGCGTGAGCAATGCAATGGTATATGTACGTGTACAGACATGCACCACTACATAAAACCCGAGAATTGGTTTCTCGGCGTTGGCAACACTGAAATCGGAGTTTCGCGTTGTCACCGCGTGAGGTCTCCAACATCAATTCGGAGTTTGGCCGGCCGACCTGTCGACCCTTAAGGGTCCAGCTGTGTGCATGTGTGCAATTGATTTATTACTTGAAATTTATTTACGGAATTATTTTGTATTTATATATTTATAGTGTGCGTAGTTGTAAAATAATTAAAATATTTTCAATATCAAATTTATAAGTTTATCGCCTATATAAAAAATATATTTCTATGATTCTCTATATTCCAATATATTATAAAAAAAGTGATATTGATATATTTGAACTCAAGTTTTTTACGTAATTAAATATTCTTGCATTGAGCCATTATACGTTACTCGTAAGTTCTTTCACGTCATAAGTACTTATGTAGCAGAGAGAAAGAAATGAGAGTTATACAATGTAACATCAATAATCGGAAAAAATCAAAATAACGGTTGTCATATCTGTGTGTATATATATATATATATACAGGGTGTCCCATAATTCGCGAACCACCGCGAATGGGCAGATAGAGCGTGTTAAACTGAATAGAAAAGTCCTGTATCATTTTGCGATATTCGCAATAATTATT